AAAAAACAAGTAATTTCCATCAACTTCTCCATGATTTCTTTGTCTATTCTTAACACTTGCTTAACCTCAATGACGCCCAACAACTCATTGAGTTGGTGAAACTTGAGTTGAGTCCTAAAATAAGGGAATTACTTATAAATCTATTTGGCTAAAATAGTTTTCTATTAGTTTATTTCCCTCTATTCAATTCCCCATTCTATTCTTTGTTCAAGTGCACAAAGTTAACAATGGAGCTTCTCTAGTTGAAATAAATTGTGCCACGAAGCCTCTTAACACCCCTAAATTCCACACTTTCCCATTTAAATATGACTATGAAAGTGCTAAAGCTCAACAAAAGCATTTTTCCACTATGTATTTTGCATGTAAAATCCAATACTATTTCACCGCATTAAGGATTAATATTGTTCACCATTTTGTGTGGACATTTTTTACCCCCCCAAAAAAAAACCCCATCATTGATATTAAATTGTGGCAACTATGCAAAAGTGGTGCATAAAAATGCGGCCGTGAGACTTAATTAACACCCCTCAAATGGAATCAGAAGAAAATCACTGGAAAAGTATGAAAAATAAATAGAAATTGATTGCAATTCAATTTGGAGAGTAATTCGATATGTTGAATGATTAATTTCCCTCTACCTTCGGAGACGCTTTGAGGAAAAGGAGGAAAATGAGCTTTCTCCTATATATTTAGGGGGATGAAAACGTGATATTTCCTCGCGATGAGAGGACATTTGTATCAATTTGGTGTGCAAAGAAGACTTCCACCTTCGCTCTTCTCGCGTGTAATATTAATTAAATGAAGGGGTGGTTTGGGGGTGAAAATACACCGCAGAAATCGTCAATTTCACCCAGCAAATGCGATGGCTTCGCTCTCTCTCTCTCTCGTCCGCGGCGAGCCACTAAACTCGGCCATCAATCACAAAATGCAGCAAATGCGAGTTTGATAGCGAGTATCGGGAATCAATTAATAATCTCTACGCTCGAGGGTGAAAAAGTCCGATATCTTCCCGGGCGCTGTGCAAACACGAAAGCCACAACCCCTCTTGATGGGGACGCGCGGATAAATCACTGCTGAGGGATGCCAAGGGGGAGTTATTGAGTCAACAAGATTGCCAATAATTGGCAAAAGCATTTGCATGCAATTAAGAAATTTATTTGAGTACTTTGAAATTGAGAAACAGATTAAAGTGTGCTAAGATTTGAACATAACCTCAAAAATATTACTTTAAACTTAAAAAAATGTGCATTTGAAAAGCTCTCAGACAGATTTTGAACTCCAAATAAGTAAATTGAAGTTCATTAATTGAGCACAATAAACTGAGCACTGATTTTTAAAGTCGTATTTCAACTTTATTGTGAGGTTAAAAAGGAGAAAATCTTTAAATGTCGAATACAAATTGGCTTTAAAGCCTTAAAAAAGCTCAATAATTCACTCAGCTGCTCAAAAATTGACACTTTTCCTTTCAAGAAGAAGAGGAGCTTTTCTTAAGCCGATTAACTGAGCAAATTGAGCAACAATCTCAGCGTTATGACGCTCAGACAGATTTTGGACTACAAAATCAGTAATTTTGAGTTCATTAGTGAATGAAAACAGGATAAAACTTTACAAGTTTGTCCTGTAAGGGTTCTCAAAGGGATCTTAAAGTGTCCTGCAAGTGATATTTTGAGGTTATGCAGCAGTTTTAGGGGAATTTATACACAAATTCACCATATTTTAAGTGTAAATAATGCGCAAACAGCCTCAGAAGCTCAATTCTTTGAAGTGTCCTGAAACTGTGTGCAGATTTCAGCCACACTATCTCCTCCTTGGCACCAGCAGCGACCGATGCGAGCGATTCGAGTGCAGAGGAGGACACTTAATTGAAAGCATACACGGGAATAATCACATTACAAACTCTCGCATCCGCCATGAGAGAAAAGCTCAAGCAGACGCGATTTCAGCCGGCGCGCGTGTATTTGGACTGAGTTTGACAGTCGGAAAATCTGCCATTGAGATTTCTAGGAGCTTCAATAGGCATAATAGACTTCAGGACATTCTTCGCTGCGCCGCAAATTGGCCAGAAATCCACCGAGAAGTCAATTTTGCCGGCATTCTCGAGCGAGTGTCGCTCAACTTGTCCATGAGATTAGAATAAACGAAAATGTGTAATTGAAATTCGTGGAATTCCACTTCGACAGAAGCACACAGAAGAGGCCGAGGGAGCTCTTGGGGTGGGTTTTTTTCCCACTGTTGGGGTGTTTGGCGAAGGAAAAGCAAAGGTCACAACGCCACGAGCGTAGTCAGGCTCTGATGGACAAGAAGAAGAAGAAAGTGTTTGAACAACAATTTCTTATACTAATTTAAGGGTTGCAAAAGTTCCTCTTTGGACAATTTAACATTTTAGGCAAGATCTTAGGGCGTTTCTTGATCTATAAGAACTCTTGTGAACAATTTCTGTGCAAATTGAAAGACTTTTTTAACAGTTTTATCAATGAAGATTCAATAAAACTTAACATAGAATGATTATTCACGATTTGAGGACTGATTTTATGCATTTAAACACAAAGTATTGAATGATTTCTCAAACTACACTAATAGATTTCTCTCCAAGAAAGCTGCAGAAGAGTGAATTTGAGGAGGAAGAAGGAAAACTTGGCACGCTTCTTGAGATTGTCTCAAGTCTGAAAGACACACTTTTTGATCCCATTCAATCCGATCTGCAGCGTGTGTTTGACGAATGGAAGAACAAAACTGTGTTTTCGACGAAGCTCGGCGTTTTGGGAAAATGAGGGAAATTTGTATGCAGAAACGGCGCAGCTGTAAATTAACTCGATCGGAAGGAGAATCAGGATTTCCCCAGTGTTTGCCAAAGCGCGCTGTATTTCATTAAATTGAAAACTCAACGGAGTGAATCAGAGTTTTAGTGGTCGTTTTGCCACGGAGACACACATCAAAAGTCTGTCCTTTTTCTCCAAATGGACACACGAGAGAAAATGTTGGAAACTTTTCCTTTGACAGCTCTTCGCCAAGGGGGAGATAATATGCGCTTTAAATCTGTACATCACTTTTTGACACTTCCGAACGCTTTTTAAGGCATTTTCCATCGCTTTTTAAACACATTTTGTCTTGGGAAAATGCCTAGATGAATTCTGACCGAATTGTGAGGTTAGGAAAACCGGTTTTATAACCTTTTCGAACCAAAAAATCCTTTCAAACCCGAAAATGAGTAAATTTAGGGAATTTTAGAATGCTTCTACTGGATAATAAAGTACAAACTGCGGAAATAACTAATAAAAGTGACATTTTTCTAAGTTAAAATGAAATTTTTGAGGTTATGTTTGACTTTGAAGCTGTTTTTCACTTTCAAATGCTCAATTCACCCCAATTTAAAGTGTTTTTGAACACAAAAACCGCAATTCTAACGAGAAAATGAGAAATATTCCCAATTTACGCACAATTTTGATGATTTTGAGGTTTTTTTTAACCTAACATAACCTAGAAAAGTAATAAAATTGATTTTTCTACGCAAAATAACTTAGAAAATGCATAAATTTGCTGCAAAAGATGCTTTTAGAGTATAAATTTTGGAAATTATTTATCTCTTCCAATTCCCAATCCTTCCTTTAAAGCTGTACACCGCTTCCGACCAAATTATCTTCCCCTTGCATTTCTCCATACGCAATTTGTGCGGTAATTTCAGTTGAAATTACAGAAGTACAAAATTCGAAATATCATTCTCTCGCGCGCTGTGCAATAAACTTTTCCCACCCTCTCTCGGTGGCAAAGGGGGTGAGAAGAGAGAGAGGGAGAATGTCTTTCTGATGCTGCAAAGGTGGGAAATGCGCCTGAAAGCGTCAATTTCTTCAATTTGTTTCCCGTGCAATTTTGCGCTCGAGTCGCGTTAATGAAGCCTCAGAGGCGAAAGATGCGAACATTTTACGGATGACATCAGCGATTTACTCGTGACTGCAATTAAAAGTGTCGCTTCGACAATTTGCCAGAGAACTTTCGAGTTTCACGTGAAATTTGGCACGAGACAATTGACAATTTATCGATAATGAGGCATGAAAATGGGTGGAAAATCTCCTCCAAGTTGCTTTGAATATTCCAGGTTATGAAGAATTCTTTCTGGCGAACATCTCTGGACAATTTTGCCGAAGAATTAATGAACGCGACGCTCATCCGGTGGCCTTTCCAGCCATATTTCATCCCCCGCCGAAAATCCCGCCTCGCATTCTTCCCCATTTCCCGCGGAAATCAACTGTTCGACGGAAGCGCGCGCGAAGACGACAAATGATAATGGAAAGCCAGCATCGCACCTTATCTCTCCCTTTCGCCTCGCCATCGAGACTCTGGGAAATTGATTAAATTCCCCCCAGTTCGCTGTGACGAAAGGATCAAAGTGGAATTTGAGGCGCGCATTTGCGTGTGAACAAACAAGATGCGAACCATATTGTTGATTTGCATGTTTAAACGCCGATTGCCGCCCACTTTTCGGCACTTGTTTGCAGTGGAAAATCGTGGAAAATCATCGCCCGGCAAACATTGGCGCAAAATGAGACAAAACATCGACAAGCAAACATTGTGAAAATTCCCACACAATGGCGAAAAATTAATCATAAGCAATAATTTCGGAGACATTTTTCACAAACTGAATTCTCTCTTCTGCTGAATGTTTGAATTGAATATTCATGATGGAATTCCTGCATTTCACCTTCATTTTTCCGCTGGAAATTAGTGGAAAAGTTCTGACATTGTTTCTGTGCAGTTATTTTGCTGACAGCAAGAAAATTTTCCCAACTGAAGACTGAAGAACGAAATGCATTTCTTCACAAGCGTGCAGTTTAATCTTATTTGACTAATTTTGAACAAAAACGAAGACGATTTGAACCATTTTTACGTTAAAACGGCTAAAAATCTCAGTGAAAATCCTTTTTCTTCAGGAATTGAGTGAAGATTTGATCATAATTTATTGATTTCCTTGAATTTCAATGATATTTCCGTGATTAGAAGCTCTTGATATCAATTGTAAACTTCTTCCGAACATTTGGAGTTCTCTTGCCATCCACTAGTGGCGCTAGAGTGCAAACAGAGCCAAATTCAAAGCCACAATTTGCACTCCCTTCGCCCAGTTCGTCAATTTCCCACCCAAAACCAGGAAAAACAGCGCGAATCACCGTGGAAAGGCAACAAAATTTATTTACGCGGCGCAATGATGCAGTGAAAGGGAGTGGCGGCGGGCGGCGGCTCACTTGCGGGCGTGCATCTTCATGAGGCTGCCGATGTTCTCCTGCAGCTGCTGCAGGCTGCGCAGCGTCTCGTCGTCGATCTGGCTCACCATGCGCGTGTCGAGGCTGGTGAGCGCCGTGGGACGCAGCGACAGGACGCCGTCCAGCGTGGGGATGTTGACGCTGGCCGTGGCGTCGTGCGTGGCGGCGTAGCCGGCCACGGGGCTGCCCGTGAGCGACACCAGCGTCTCGCCGACGCGCGGGAAGCGCAGCAGCGCCAGGGGCTCCTGGATGTCCACCTTCGGCCGGATGTGCGAGATGCGGTCGGCGCTGGCCGCCTTGGGGCGCGGCGCCTCGGCCGGCGTGCGCGTGGCCGGCCGCGAGCGGTGCTCCGTGTGCGGCATGGGCGGCCGCTGCATGGGCGTGGGCGGCTTCAGGCGGCTGGGCTGCAGCTTGGAGACGCTCGGCAGCGCGCCGGCGGCCGAGCGGCTGCGGCGCATCCGGCCGCGCGCGGACGACAAAGGGCCCCGCATCACCGGCGCCTGCTCGGACGTGCGGTGCTCTGTAATGTAACCTGCGTGAGCGGCGCGGGGCGCGAGCGTGACGTGAGAGAGAGAGAGTCCAGAAGCACCCGGAAAGGAAGCGAGAAAAGCCCGATGAATGGCATGCAAGATGAGATGATTTGCGGCGCAAGAACTCACCTTCGTCCTCCCTGGATTGGTGTCTGGTGTGCGTGGAGTTGACGACGGAGTTGCTGGACATGGACTCCATCTGGTTGCTGGTCTTGGACGCCTCCAGGAGCGTCTTGGCGCCGCTCATCGCCTGCAAATCGCCCATTTTCATCAGCAGCACATTGTCCGGAAGGCTGGCCAGGAAGCTGTGAATCGCCGTCTCGATGGCCTGCAGATTGTGGCTGTGCTTGATCTCCAGGTCTGCCACTTGAGCCTCCACTGAAAGAGAGCGCCGGCAGTGCTAAATCACGTCCGGGAAAACGTTGAGAGTGTGAAAACTCACCGGTTTCGTCGAATTCTCGCAGTGTCGCCGCCTCGAGGTCCTCAAGAGTCTGCTCGCGGTTCCTCTTCGCGTTCTTCGGCACCTTTGTGCGCGGCATTGTGAGGCAATGGCACGATTTGAGACACACAAAGCACGGGAAATTGCGGAAAATGCAGGGAAACTCGAGTGGGAAATGAGCGCTTGGCGTTGAGCAGCTTGAAAAATGAATTCGTTTGACAGTTCGACAGCAGTTGCTCATCGGGCAACCCGAATCTATGTTTTCATCGCCGCCATGAAAGTGATCGAATATTCAAATTTCAACAGCCAAATAACGCCCTTTTCAAGACCTCTTCGCCAAAGGGAAGACAAAATGTATTGGAAATTGGGGTTTTAGAACTTCTTAAATCACAAGAAGAGTCAGAATGTTATTTTGCAGCTCAAAAATAAGATTAAATTGAGGAATTTAGCAGAAACAACAGCGAGAATTCCAAGAGGAATTCTAAAGAATTTGATAATGAGCTGAAAAACACTTGATTTCTTAATATATTTCCCTCTCTGATTGTGCACAATTTTGAAGATTGCCAAGTAAGAGTGCTTTTAGAGCGCCTTTTCACTCTGTTTCTTAAAGAGAATCACGTCGGAAATACAGAGCCATAAAGTTGTTTTGTGACTTGTTGTGCGAGACAAAAGTGGCGCAAAATTCCTATTGTATCGAATTGATGGTGGAATAGTACAAATCCAGTCCTGAAATATCGCGCTGTGGGAGATGTGAGAAGGGCTTATGCGTGTTTATGGTGTATAGTTAACTGGAGGAGCGACATTGGAAACTTTATTTGCACATACGGTTCAGCAGAAGCAAGCGCGGCGGATGGTTTCAACCCCTCCCGCGTTTCACCCCAGTTGTGTCAATGCAAATTTGCCCAGGATTTCAAAGAGAGGATCAGAGAAATATAAATTTCCACGGGAAAATAGAGTCAAAAGTATGTGCACAAAATGTTGCTGGGAAATTCGTTCGATGTGCAGGAAAATACAGCGCGATTTAAGAGTCATTCAATGGTGGAGAAATCTCAACAGCAAATCCTCATTTCTTTCTCAACTCAATTCCATTCCAGTATTTTGTGTGTTTATCGCCATGCGAAAGAGGGATTAAATGCTCTGCAACTCTTCAACCGACTCCTTAAAAAGCTTCAACACACATCGGCCTTTTTGTTCTGAATGACACAATTTCACTCACATCGCACACAATTCATCTGCAAAGGACGCAAATGACGAAACTTTTAGTGTAATTGGAATGTCGAGGAAAGTGCTCGTCACCCAATTTCTCAAAAAATTCCCCAGCAAAATGGCCTGAATTTCTCCCACACCTTTTTTTTCCGCCCAATGACAGCCCAGCGTAATTCTCTGTATGAGTTAATTTACATATTTTTTTCCACCCCCAAAAACATTGTTCCGCAACTCGCTGTTTTCGCACTGTCCCCGCGCGCGCCCTGACAGGGGCTGGGGGGTGAGGGAGAAAAGGGCGAATTTGGGGATGGATAAGTTGGGAAAAGCAAAACCCAAAAATGTTCCGACGTTGTTTCAGCGCCAGTAAAATACGGTGATATTTATGAGAGCGCCGGCAAATATTTGCTCCTCGGTTTCGAGAGTAAGAAGTGCGAAAATTCAGGCTCCCCGGCTTTCTGGTGTGTGTGTGGCAAAAAGAACTTCCCATGCGACATAATTTACCACTATTCTACAGCATTGCATTATGTAAATTATGTATGACTCCACGTACAGTCTGACTTTCCATCCCTCGCTCGTGGTGTGAACTCGTCCCGGGCGCGGCGTTCGCAAGGCCACAGATTGGCGAAAAGATAGATAAAGAGAGGATTTTTCAGACTGAATGCAAGTGGGAGATGAAATTCTTCGACTATCTGCAAAATATCCTCAAATTACAGTGAATTTCTTAAGTTTCTATCCAATATTTATGCAAAAATCAATTTAAAAGCGCTTTTTTGGATTTCATATGCGATCATAACCTAAAAATATCACTACAAAATCTTTAAAACTGAGTTTAAATGCTTTTTAGATCACAAAATCATCTTTTATCAATTGATAATAAACTCAAAATTGCTGATTCAGAGTCAAAATCGTCAAGAAAGTTGAAAAAATCAACAAATTCCAAATTCAAATAAATATTTTTCAGGTTATGTTCGAGAAAAAGGATTATTGTGATTGTTTATACGTAAAATATCAGAACAAATCCCCAAAATTGGGATAATTTATCCCAGATAAAGTGCAAAAAAACAATTACAGACACTTTCTAGCCTTTCTAGCTTGATTTCTCGATTTTCTAGATCATTTAATACTCAATAAATTAAAAAATCAATTCTTTGAAGTATTTTTAAGCTTTACAAAGTGGTTTTTTATCAAATTGCGCTGAAAATAGTGCTTTTTAAGCTAATTTTTAATCACTAATATCATTTCTAAATACTCAATTCTCTGTTTAATAAATTGAAATTCACGGAAAACAGCTCAAAGAGCGAGAGAAAAATAAGAATATTTTTTTATATCTATTCACAAGTCACAATGTGACTCAATTTCAATCGAAAAATGACTTATTTCCGTGTGTTTAACCTGTAATTCACAGAATTCCCCGAATTTGTACCCATTGAATTGCGAAACCTTATTTTTTACACCTTCTTTTACAACCCATTGCGGCAATCTTTGCGCCAAAAGCCCTCTTTGTCCCGCTAAAAGCTATCGATTTCACCCCCAAAGCTCACCTGTGACTCCGATTGACTCCTCGGCGTCCCTCAATTTTACAGTCGTGACATAAAGCTGTCCCCCGAGAGCGCCTCGCCGCCCTCTTTATCGCACTTCTCCGCACTTCTCTGAAGGGGTGGCTTTTCTAGGCTGCAGATTTGAGTGCTTGTCCCGATTTCGCAGCTCTGGCGGCAGCCGCTTGTGGCCTCATGTGAGAACGCGGTGGGAAATAAAAAGAAATGGCCACCGAAATTGGTCTTCACGGCGTGATGGTGATCTTCCCAATTTCGCTCTCATCTTTTATTGTGACACAGCGACAGTTATGGCGGAGGTACAAAAGGGAGGTGGGGAGTCAATGGTATCTCGTCGTGTGTAAATCTTTAATACAACTTTATTGCTCGCCAGGACACAGCCATGCGAGATCGCCCACTGCGAAGGATAAAATATTTATGTGGGAAACGGATAAGAGGAGTTCCTTTTCCCGCCGCCTTTTTTGCCTTGTCTCAATTAATTCCACTCCACGAAACGACTCACTGCAATTTGCAAAATCGTTTACACACGCGGCGTGCGCGCCCTTCGAGGGCGGGCAAAAAGGGGCGCAAAAAATTCCCCCGTGGGAGAGCCTCGAGCGCCCCGGAAAAATTGTTTCCCGAGATATTCGGAGCATAACAAGAAGTGATGGTTTTTTGAAGTTCTGCGGCTGGGCGAGTGAAAATGTGAGTAGTTTTCGCAACTTTCTAACTTCGTGCGCGAGAGGAAAAAAAAAGTGAAATGTCAGGAAGAATTAAATTTTTCTCATCGTTAAAAATTACTCACGAAAGTTCTTGCAAGGGCAATATTTGTCATATTCAATTAATCAGCGATTTTAGAGCTAAGATTATGCGATTTAGTCATTATTTTAGCAGAAATTCTCTTAATGACAATCTTTGGAAAATTGAAAAAATATCGACAGGTTTTCAAGTCTTCTTTCAAACGCGACTTATTGCGGAGTATAGATTAAATAATCTGTCCTAGAATACAATCAAAATCATGTTTTCCATACGCGTTATCTTGAAGTCAAAAGTCAATCCCAATAAAGAAATGTATTATATTGAAGACACGTTAGAAGAATTGTCAGTTAATCTGGAAATTTCTTCACTAAGAAATAAATGGTTTATTGATAAGCAAATATGATAATAGTCTAATTAGCATTTTTTCTCTATTCAAACTGAAATTCAACGACACTGTCCAATGGATGTCCTGTATTTGTCTAAAGACAAGACAGATAAATCGACAGAAAAGTCACATTTCGATGGATTTGTGCAAAATCCTATTTTTGAGAACAAGTAATTGATTAATTTTCATCTGAATGGAACTAGAAAGCAATTCATACTGAAAGTGTCTATTGGATTTGTCTTATACCGTCGCATGACAGTCAGTTACAAATTCGTAATGTGTATTTCTACTGGGATTTTCAGTATAAAAGCGCAATTCAGGGAAATTACAATTTTCAGTGAATCCAGTGAAGTGATTTCGAAGACATATCAACTCTCATGCACTGCCTAATTCAAGAGCAATTCTCTCTTGCCTTCAGCAGAACTTTCCAAAAGCTCTAGCGTGTGTAAGTTATTAGAGAGCGAATGGGATTTTCGCAAATTTGCAATCGACCGGCAATTCTGCACCTTCTTGGCGTCATTTTGGAGGGCTGAAGTTTGTCAATGAAATAAATTGTAATAATTGGAATACATCTTGGCAAAGTGGCAAAACTCCGTCGGCTAAAATGCTTGCATTTCGGCAGAAAGTTGCTGGTGAAGTTGCGGGGAAATTCCCGTGGAAAAGCGCTTCCCCAAGAGACACACTCACCTCGTCTTTCGTGGGGCGGCGGCGGCGGTGAAAATGCAGAAATGCAATAAATTTGCCCCTGTCAATAGTAGTTTGTGCTCTGGGAGAAGCGAAGAGTCTCTTTGGAAAAATGTTTGGTGCTTCAGCTTCTTCTTCTTCACCCGCCAGTAAATTGTGGATTGAAAAGTTTCTTCCTCTTTTTTTTGTGCCCTTTTTCGGAGAGTGTTTGAGTGAATTAATGCCCTGTGAATGAAGCAAATAATTTCCAACATCGACGAATGGTTTGTTTTAAGCTCTGAATTTCGAGCGTTTCGCCAAAGTTTCCACCCTCGATGGATGGGAAAATTTCTCAGGCAGCTAAATGGAAAAGTTCACCCAACTCCAAGGGGTATTTAAAATGAGTTAGAATCTCCCTTTCCTGGACAGACTCTCGGGCTGTGCGTCATAATTCAAGACATCACACTTCAGCATCTCCGGCTGGAGAGCTTTTGCCGCACCTTCTTCGCCTTTATTGATTGCGTATTTACAACTTGGCCGCTTTACAGCTGAGAAAGTGCGCCTCGGGGCGTAAGTCTAAATTGGCTCTTCACTGGCGCAATTCTTGGGCCTTCGGCTCAACTGGCCGGCAGAGTTATTAAGAGGGTCCAGAAGACGATTTCCCACCCC